ACAGCAACATATTTACCCGTGTCTTTCTTACTCCCTCGACGAGACGACTCCACCCAACACCCCCTCTCTCTTTTACTCCCACTCCTCCTCTCTCAGGCTCTTACCTCCCCCTCTCTCCTCTCTTTTCACCCCCCCCCCCCTTTTTTTTCCCCTTTTCTCTTTTTTCTTCTTTTCCTTTACTTTCTTTTCTTCTTTTCCTTTCTTTCCTTCCTCCCTCTTTTTCTTTTTTCTCCGTTTTTCTTCTCTTCTCTTTTCTTCTTGCTTTTCCTTATTTTACATTTTCAAGGTCATTTTCACTTTTTACAATATCGGACACTTGATTATGTAATGAAGATAACGTCACTACGAGTTTACGTCCTCAAACCGAAGTTAGCGCAACTCATACACTAACTAACGGTTTTCATTAGAAGTCTGTGCGACATTCACTCCTAAAGCACCCCATACTTCCGAACCTGTGGAAAACCTCTTTTGCTTCTGATTAAAGATAAACTTTAGTACTGGTAATGCGATTGCATTGTGAAAGAAAAGGGTGTGAAAGGATCAGAAACAGTTGATCATGTAGCATGTAAGTATTAATGTGCACTGCAAGGTTCTGGAGTCAAGTCTTTCTATGCTCACTACTCAGCCAGTATACATTTTCTTCCAAAATTGTTTGGCACATGTCATTTATTTGTAATCTTGAACATTCAGTGTAAGTTTCGTTTGATTCTGTGAGAATTTATTTTCTTTTTTTTTACCAGAACTCAAGTTTATCTTTAATATCACAAGAAATTTGAACTCCTACATCCTAATTTCTACATATTTTCATGACTTGCCTATTATAGAAACACATAAGCAAGGTCAATTGCTAACCAAATGAAAAATAAAAACAATGACTGCATTTAGGTAATCATGAAGGCATTAAGAAAATGTTATAAGGGGAAAATATGTTTAGCACATAGAGAATATATCATCAGTTGTGCTTTGACTTACTGCATGCTAATTCGTCCTCGAAGTAATCGCAGTGGTAAATCCCATCGCACAGGACAGTCGGTGACACGCTCATGTTGGAGCTCGAACAATCAAATAAGGCTGGTAGAAGATAGAAAATAGAAAATATATTTAGACAGCTCATAATGCTTGAAATTTTCAGTTTTTTGACCCCTGCTTCAATAGGGGACATTGTGTATCGTCTAGTCACATGTTTGTCGTATTATTTTCAAACCGACTCCATACCATCAATTGCATTGGCCATTGGGGATTATCATGACTGTAATTATTTGTTCGGTCCCTAGTCGATCTGGGGTCGGTCTTATTGTTGGAATGACTAGATAATGAAGTACATTGAGCTATGCAGTGATTTCCAACTTAAATTATATTCTAAAAATGTACACTGCTGCTCATAAAGGTGGAATATTTTTGTTTTACCCCAATTTATGGAATTATTTAAAAAAATAATTTAAAAATATAGATCTAGATAATACTATACATTCCCAGATTTTATTGAATAACAATTTGCCAATGTGTGTTTTGCGTGACTGCTAAAGCATGTGTATGCTACTATGCTTATCAACTAGGGGACCTATGCCCTAAGTCAAATGACAATAATGAGGATTAATTCCCACAAAAGGGCACTAATATAGCACATTGACACGGTTTTGATCCTGGGGCCTCACGGTTACGAGGTCATTGCTTTGTCACTGAACCATGACTGTACGCAGCGGTGGCTAGGGTAGGGGGCAGTTTCCATAAATAAAAAAAAAACACAGAAAATGCAATAAATTTTCAATCATTTATTGGATTTTACCCCGGTCCCCAACATAAAAATATCCTCTGGACGGCCATGCATTATGGCTCAAGGCATGGGTACATAGAAGATTTTTTATGTTGGGAACCGGGGTAAAGGCAATAAATTATTGAAAATTTATTGCATTTTCTGTTTTTTATTTTATTTATGGAAACTGCCCCCTACCCTAGCCCCCGCTGCGTACAGTCATGGTTCAGTGACAAAGCAATGGCCTCGTAACTGTGAGTCCCCAGGATCAAAACCGTGTCGATGTGCTATATTAGTTCCCTTTTGTTTGGCATTAATCCTCATTACTGTCATTTATGACTTGAGGGCGTAAGTCCCCTAGTTGAAAAGCATGGTAGCATACACATGCTTTAGCAGTCCCGCAAAACACACATTGGCAAATTATTATTCAATAAAATCTGAGAATGTATACTATTATCTAGATCTATTATTTCTAAATTATTTTTAAAATAATTCCATAAATTGGGGTAAAACTAATATATTCCCAACTTTATGAGCGACAGTGTATATACATCAAAGATTGCTTTATATCTCATAACACATTTCGCACTATCTTCTTCGCTCTTCTCGAAATTCATTTCTGTTTACCATTCCTAGCAAAGCAAAGCTGGCGATCGTACATTCACTGTAACAACATCCAAAGAATGGAAAATACCCCCTCTTTTATAAAGCAGAAAATTCCACAGACCTATTTAACAAACTCTTGAAAACATACCTCTTCCCTAAATAGTTAAGTTAAGCCCTTTTCTTTTCCATATCGCTTTTAAACATTGTGTATGTACCCTTTCTGATGAATGTATGATCATTTTGTTTAAAAGCTTTGATTTAGTTTACTGTGGACAGGGTACTAAATACTAGTTATTATTATCATTAGAAGACAAATCAAGACTAATCACAAACTTACTTGATAGGTCAATGGCGATGATCTCAACGTCGATTCTAACCCGGTGAAACTCTTTGTTGCTATGATAGTAAACCACATCTCATTGGTACCTACATAGAGATCATCAGAAACGTATTGTGTATATCCATGGATAGTTTTGATGACAGACTGTATGTCAGACGGATCGTTACCTGTCCCTATTTGGACTTCATCACCATCATACTGGAGATACAAATATTGGAACACGATTCGAAAACCATACGTAGTATTTGTTTGTAGCAAGAATGCATTGTACAATCGGCTGGTGCTGGTGAAAGGCATGTTTATGAAATGTGATTCGTCTTCCTGCAGATATGTAGCTGAATTATCTGTTAACAAAATTAAAGACAAGAGAGAGAGAAGAAGGGGAAAATTAATGTAAGAAAAAAAAAGACTTTTGCATCCATACATGATTATGAAAGGTTCGCCAACTGAAGATTGATATATAAGCTCCGTCAACTAGCACTGACAAATTTGGGAGCCTCTCTCGAGAAAGTTACATTATCCATTTATGATTTTACCGGGAAAAGCATGTATTCTATACAAAACACGGAAACAAAATGGACATCAGATGACAGAATTACGAGTCTTACGAAGGACGACAGGAAAGTAACAATCCGCTGTGATAATGACGGTTGTGAAGAGCAAAGCAGATTGTTATCGCGGGTAAGAAGTATCCCTGTATAGTATATAAAATGTTCTTAAACAGTATATAACAATTTTCAGTCAGATGCTGATTGGATATGTCGGACTTGTCTACTTAAAGAATTGCCTTTCAACTCTGATGACTGTGTAGACACACCTACTTTTGATGATAATGGATAATGATAAGCTAAACGATGTAAATATAAATAAGTTGACAAGAACATTGGAATAAGATTTTTGTTGGTGTTATATATACGTAGCATGATGGATAAATTTGACCACATAAAAGATATGTTGTTTAACAACCCTTTAGATATACAAAGCTTATCGGAAACTGTGTTAGGTCAATCAATCCTAGGCACTGAGCCTTGTTTAAGTGTTTACAATCTTAGAGAAAAGATAATAAATCATCAGGTGGTGGTGTTGCTTGTTATATTAACTTGAATCTGATTTGCACTCCCAGGTATGAAATGGACCATGAGGACCTGAAGTAAAATTTGAACATTCACATTCACTTTAGTTGATTTGCTGTTGTTTTGCGACGTCCTCATTCTTCAACCGACTTCTTTTTTTGTAAAGCAGAACTTCATTTTGAACTAGACATTGAAATCGTCGAGAAGACGAATAATGTGATCTGCCGCTTTGATCGAGACCTAACACATGTTGAAACTTAATGGGAGATTTGCTCTTTTCTTGAAAATCGCCCAAACACACAATGAAAAGCACATATAGACATGAAATGATTGTTTGAATTATTTAAAGTAAGATGTTACTTTTACTTTTAATACATGAATATTCATAACTGTGCGATAAAGTGACAGGAAGAATAGTGAAAGCATTAATCCCGTGGTTAAGGTTCCATTTAAACAGCCATTCCATAAAAATACTAAGACAAATGCTGTTACTTCAAGCCAAGACATAGCCTTAGCCCTTGCGATAGTCCACAGAATATGCGTCAGTCATTGGAATGCTCGTTCGATGAATAAGCAAACTACTCTATATGTGATTTAATTTATTATATGGAACGGCATCGATGCGCGATGCGCGGAAGCTTTGACGTTTCCTTAAATTATTAGAGAAAGCAGACGATTCGTTGTACCGTTTTCGATTCTTAATCCTTGTCTAAATTTAGTTTCCCCCTTCCCGCGCGAAGCGCGAAAAGCTTAGACGTTTCCTTAAATTACTAGAGAAAGCAGACGAATCGTTGTACCGTTTTTGACTCTTAATAAGCCCTATTTCTCTGAACTCAGTTTTCCCCTCTCGCGCAAAGCGCTGAAGATTTGACCTTTCCTTAAAGTATGAAAGAAACCAAACGATTCAATGTACTGTTCTCGACTCTTAATCCTTATCTCAATTCAGTTTTCCCCCTCTCGTGCGAATCGCTGAAGTTTTGACGTTTCCTTAAAGTATGAGAGAAAGCAAACGATTCGTCATACTGTTCTCGACTCTTTATCCTTATCTGAATTCAATTTTTCCCCCTTGAGCGCGTTGCGCGGAAGCTTTGACGTTTCCTTAAATTATTAGAGAAAGCGGACGATTCGTTGTACCGTTTTCGACTTTTAATCCTTTTCTAAATTTAGTTTCCCCTTCCCGCGCGAAGCGCGAAAAGCTTAGACGTTTCCTTAAATTACTAGAGAAAGCAGACGGTTCGTTGTACCGTTTCCGACTCTGAATAAGCCCTAATTGTTCTGAATTCAGTTTTTCCCTCTCCCCCGAAGCGCGGAAGCTCCGACGTTTACTTTAATTATTAGAAAAAAAGTAGACGATTCGTTGCATCGTTCGCCACTCTTAACCCTAAAATGTCTGAATTCAGTTTCCCTCCTCTGCGCGAAGCGCGAAAGCTTTGACGTTTCCTAAAAGTATGAGAGAAAGCAAATGATTCGTTGTACCGTTCTCGACTCGATTAAATGAAGTTTCCGCCCCCGCCCCTGCGCGAAGCGCGGAATTTTTGGAGTTTCATCAAAATAAAGAGAAAGGAAGACGATTGTCGTACCGTTGTTGACTCTTAATCCTTGTTTGAATTTAGTTTCCCCGATAATGTTAAACCTCTGATTTTTTTAACTGAGTTTAAAGGAAAGTGAAACTTCGAGAAAATACAAGTATTATTGTAGTTGTAGTTAGTCGCGAAGTCGTCACAGCGGATAAAAAGTCACAGTTCGTAGGGGAACAAACTTGTCGGCCGACCAACAATATACATCTCACCAATTTTAAACTTCTGCATTGATATAGTACACGAGGATCGAGCAAAAACCGACACAGCTGACCCGACACAGCAACATATTTACCCGTGTTTCTTGCTCCCTCGACGAGACGACTCCACCCAACAACCCCCTCTCTCTTTTACTCCCACTCCTCCTCTTTCAGGCTCTTACCTCCCCCCTCTCTCCTCTCTCCTCTCTTTCACCCCCTTTTTTCCCCCTTTTCTCTTTTTTCTTCTTTTCCTTTTCTTTCTTTTCTTTCTTTTCCTTTCTTTCCTCCCCTCCCTCTTTTTCTTTTTTCTCCGTTTTTCTTCTCTTCTCATTTCTTTCTTTCTTTTCCTTACTTTACATTTTTCAAGGTCATTTTCATTTTTTACAATATTGGACGCTTGATTATGTAATGAAAATAACGTCACTACGAGTTTACGTCCTCAAACCGAATTTAGCGCAACTCATGCACTAACTAAAGGTTTTCATTAGAAGTCTGTGCGACATTCACTCCTAAAGCACCCCATACTTCCGAACCTATGGAAAACCTCTTTTGGTTCTGATTAATATTAGAAGAAATTTGAACTCCTACACCCTAATTTCTACATATTTTTCATGACTTGCCTATTATAGAAACGAATTGGCAAGTCAATTGCTAACCAAATGAAATATAAAAACAATAATCGCATTAAAGTAATCGTAAAGGCATTAAGAAAATGTAATAAGGGGAAAATATGTTTAGCACATAGAGAATATATCATCAGTTTTGCTTTGACTTACTGCATGCTAATTCGTCCTCGAAGTGATCGCAGTGGTAAATCCCATCGCACAGGACAGTCGGTGACACGCTCATGTTGGATCTCGAACAATCAAATAAGCGCAACTCATGCACTAACTAAAGGTTTTCATTAGAAGTCTGTGCGACATTCATTCCTAAAGCACCCCATACTTCCGAACCTATGGAAAACCTCTTTTGGTTCTGATTAATATTAGAAGAAATTTGAACTCCTACACCCTAATTTCTACATATTTTTCATGACTTGCCTATTATAGAAACGAATTGGCAAGTCAATTGCTAACCAAATGAAATATAAAAACAATAATCGCATTAAAGTAATCGTGAAGGCATTAAGAAAATGTAATAAGGGGAAAATATGTTTTGCACATAGAGAATATATCATCAGTTTTGCTTTGACTTACTGCATGCTAATTCGTCCTCGAAGTGATCGCAGTGGTAAATCCCGTCGCACAGGACAGTCGGTGACACGCTCATGTTGGATCTCGAACAATCAAATAAGGCTGGTAGAAGATAGAAAAAAGAAAATATATTTAGACAGTTGATAATGCTTGAAATTTTCAGTTTCTTTGACCCCTGCTTCAATAGAGGACATTGTGTATTGTCTAGTCACATGTTTGTCGTATTATTTTCAAACCGACTCCATACCATCAATTGCAGGGGCGGCGATCCCGGGGGGGGGGGGGGACGGGGGGGACACGTCCCCCCACCCCCTCGATTTTTGTAGGGGGGATCTTCCCCCCGGAAAATTTGAAAAAGTGCAAAAAAATCTATATCTGATCGCAAATACTTAAGCCCACCCCCCCCCCCTCACTCCCACTTTGAAAAACGTTCCGCGGGGCCTGCATGTAACATGTAAGAGCGGTGATCAGGGGCGGCGATTTCTTTTCATGACCGGGGGGACGAATGCGAGGAGGAACAGGGGAGGAGTGACGTTATGAGCAAAATCTTTTTTTTTGGGGGGGGGGGGAGAAAAAAATCCGCATCATCACCGCACTTACATGTTACATGCAGGCCCCGCGGAACGTTTTTCAAAATGGGAGTTAGGGGGGGCTTAAGTATTTGCGATCAGATACAGCATGCAAAGCAGGTGGGGGCGTAAATTGGCGTGGGGTCCACGGGCAAAGCCCCGGCGGGGGTCAAGGGCGGAGCCCCGTGAAGCTCAGAGTTTTTTAGGCATTTAATAAGGGTCAGATGAGCATATTTTGATACCTTGTTTGTGACACATGCATGCAGGTCACTAATCAAAGTGGGGTCCAGGGGGTGAAGCCCCAGAAGCTCAGCGGTTTTAGGCCTTAAATTACGATCAGATGAGCATCCAGGGGCGCCTTAGGGCCCTTGGTGGGGTCTAGGGGTGGAGCCCTCGGAAGCTCATGGTTTCAGGCTTTTGAATATGGTCATATGTGCATCCAGAGGTCCGTGTAGGGCCCTGTTGGGGTCCAGGGGGCGGAGCCCCCGGAAGCTCAGGTGATTTAGGCATTTGATTATGGTCAGCTGAGCAACCAGGGGCCTGCCTTAGGGACCTTGGTGGGGTACAGGGGACAGAACCACCGGAAGCTCAGGGAAATAGGCCATTTCAACAGCATTTGTAAATTAGTCACTGGTAACGAATTAGAAATAAACCACGTTTGAATTTTATCGGGAGGGGGGGGTGGACTGCCCAAAGCCCGAGTGAGTGAGCATAGTGAATGAGAGGGATGAAGGAGACGAAAGTGACTACTCCCTCACAGTTTTTGAAGTTTTGTTGTCCGAGTGAGTGAGCATAGTGAATAAGAGGGATGAAGGAGACGAAAGTGACTACTCCCTCACAGTTTTTGAAGTTTTGTTGTATTATAAAATTATATTCCTTAGCAAAATTATAGTATAAAAACAAACAATGTACTTTTTTCGCACTTCACTTTTTTTCACACTTCACTTGTACATTTTGAAGAATATTCTGCGAGGGAGCATAGCTCCCGAGCCAGAAGATTTTTGTATTTTTATTTGTCTAAACGCTGCACTCTTGGGCCCTCCAAAGCCTTATAGTGTGCTAAAGTCTTTAGTCAGTATTTACTCTACATTATTTTTTTGCACTTTTTCAAATTTTCGGGGGGGAAGATCCCCCCTACAAAAATCGAGGGGGGTGGGGGGACGTGTCCCCCCGTCCACCCCCCCCCCCGGGATCGCCGCCCCTGGCGGTGATGATGCGGATCTTTTTCTCCCCCCCCAAAAAAAAAAAAAAAAAACGATTTTGCTCATTACGTCACTCCTCCCTCGTTCCTCGCATTTCGTCCCCCCCCCCCCCCCCCCCCCCGGTCATGAAAAGAAATCGCCGCCCCTGATCAATTGCATTGGCCATTGGAGATTATCATTGTTCGGTCCCTAGTCAATCTGGGGTCGGTCTTATCGTTGGAATGACTAGATAATGAAGTACATTGAGCGATGCAGTGATTTCCAACTTAAATTATATTCCAATAATGTATATACATCAAAGATTGCTTTACATCTCATAACACATTTCGCACTAATCTTCGCTCTTCTCAAAATTCAATTCTGTTTACCATTCCTAGCAAAGCAAAGCTGGCGATCGCACATTCACTGTAACTGCATTAAAAGAATGGAAAATACCCCCTCTTTCATTAAAGCAGAAATTCCACAGACCTTTTTAACAAACTCTTGAAAACATACTAGGCCAAGAGCATTAGGTCAAAATAGGCTTAAACCTGAAATGTTTGGTAACAAGCTGATTTTTTTTCAGGATAGCTCCAGGAATATGTCTAGAATAACATACTAAAAGTCCTCGTATATCCTCCTTGAGCGTTTTCCGTAATCCAAGATGGCGTCCAAAATGGCCGCCATTTCCTGATTTTCTTATAACTTTGCAACTAGATAACCCAAATACAAAATTTAAATGTCTAAATGTATGTTTTTTAGCATAAGGAACTCAATAAAATACATGTTGATAAATTTTGAAACACACAAGTAGCTATAAACCACTTTAGCCCTTCCCGAAATCCAAAATGGCGCCCAAAATTGCTGCCATTCCTGAATTTCTTATAACTGTGCATCTAGATAACCCAAATACCAAATTTAAATGTCTAAATATATGTTTTTTCAGCATAAGCAACACAAACAAATACTTATCAATAAATTTTGAAACACACAAGTGGCAGTAAAACCAATTGTGCCCTTTCCGAAATTCAAAATGGCGTCCAAAATGGCCATTATTTCGAATTTAACTCACTGTATTAAAGTAGGTGCGTTATGAATACAATCAAATGTCTATACAAGAAATGCACTATTGTAATACATATCAGTACAAATAAACCTTTCGTTAAATAATTAAATATTTCTTATACATAACGTATACACACCCACACACCCATCCACACACACATGCACAAATATGGCTGCTTTCATCAGACTGACAGTGTGCAAACCGTAAAGAGTACTCAACGTCAGATGGAACTGAAAATGAAGACACATTAGTACCAATTACTGTCGCAAAGGCAAAAGTCACAAGGTTTCTAACAGGACATGCACCTCAATAGCCCATTCCATGTCATCTCTGCTAGTAGACCAGGTCATTTCTGCTAGTAGACCAGGTCATTTCTGTCGCCAATATTGTTGGAATGGCTTCGTATAAACACCGGAAGTGTGGCTCACGTGAACAGATAGACATCTTGAGCTGAGCAACATGAGCTTTGTCCTTCATGGATTGGTTTCATGAAAGTGGCCATGCAGAGTGACCAGTACGAGAATTGAAACTCTGCCCATCATAAATTTAGACTCCTCTAATCCGAGTACCATCTACACGGCACTATACTTTGCACAGTCACAATGTGAAAAACATATAACTTAAGAATATGTGCAGTAACATTTAACCAGCCCTCGTACATCAAGGCAGCAGAGATTGTAGCTTCTTCTCAAGACCTAGGAAAAGTAATCGTCCGTTTTGGTGGATTTCACCTCCTCATGCCATATCTCGGCAGCATATAGTCCACGTCATGGGCAGAAGTATGCTTGTAGAGCTATGGGAGACGCCAAAGGGTCTGTCATACATAATGCAATCTGGTCATGCATTTCCCCTTCTCTTCGTGCTCACATACTTACTTCAGCTGCCCTCAATGGCGTGTTGATGGGTAAACCTGGCGTCTTAGACAGCATAGATAAGGACCACTTAGCGAATCTGTATGGTGCACTCCTCAACCAGGACAAGAAGGTGACTGTTGGACCTGAGAAGAGTGTGCCAAACAGTTAAAGTCAGATCATTTCACAACTCATTGCACGGGCAGCAGGACACAGTAGGACAGGGAAACTTTGGTTGCAGTAAATCCGACATTTATGTGTCTATTCTGCAATGTTTCATTCCAGCTGAAAGGACAGGGACTGGAAGCTCCATCTCAGCTGTGTAAGGGAAATGATACAACATTTCCATGCTGCAGGACATCTTCCCTAGTTCAAATATGTCAGGTTGTTTTTAAAACAGATGGAAGCTCTAGAGCAAACTATGCCAGGAAATGAATTCGCAGAAATGGGATATTTTACCATCCGCTGTGTGGATTCATTCTGGGGTGGAAACTTTTCTGATCAGACCATTGAAAAGTTCCTGATGCGGCAGCTGAAAACATCTAGAGAAATGACTCGTGGACGTGGAATCACAGACAGTACATTGGCTATTAAAGTGGGTTCATGTACTTCCTCACTGTGTTCCTACCTGTGATGAACTGGAACAGTTCACCGGAGTACACTCTGGTACACCAGAGCAGCATAAAGACATACAGCAAAGTACCAGGTCAAGAGACAATAAAGAAAGATGTTTCTTTGTTGGATGGCTGCAGGCACATCACCATTTGCTTGATACGAAACTAATTGCCTGGTCTCCTTGTCAACTGGCATCGTCGTTGGCTAATCTGTTAATTGTGATTAACCTGTACAAATCGGCATAGTAGCGGCATCCGAAACGAATGCATGGTAGGAAGTTTACAGAATTCAAGTTACGTACATCGTAAGGACAAGATAAAGACCATTGGTGCCAATAGTAAGAGAGTGAAAATCAGGGACAAAGCACATAAGTCAACCCAACACTACTGTTCAACAGAATAACATGTGTCCTGAATAACAATACTGAGATGGAATCGGTCTTTGCTTATGAACATATTCCCACGCACTTTCCCTTTCAAATGTGGGGTGCTGCGGAAGCCAACAAAGAGTTCTCTGGGTCTCCTGCTGAATTCGTTCTCCAAGCAATCCAACGTGCCAGAAATGGTCTCTTTGTTTAAGATGGCCGTGGTCGCCTACTGCACCCTTAATCATTATGGAGCTCATGTGACGGTGGTGTTCGATGGATATGGAAGTGCAACTTCGACAAAGGTAGCTGAGCAGAGACGAATAGCCCAAAGATGTACCTCTTTATTTGATGATAATATATTATATGCCAACAAGCACAAACCAAAACAGCTTGCCTACAGCAACAATAAGATGAGACTTATACAAAGTCTACGTGACAAAATACATAACGGTATCAGGCAGGCAGAAGCGGATGCCACTATTAAACCTGATTGTCTCTATAGCACAAGCAGTAGCAGAGTCAGAACAGGTGCCCGTTGGTAAGGACACAGATTTACTGGTCATGCTACTTGCTCCGGCAACCACTTCCACAGATATGCACATGCTATGCCGCAGAATCCTGTCACGGTCTTCAACATTCATGAAATTCAGCATGCCATTGGGGACACTAGAAATTGCCTGATGTTTCTTTAAGCTGTGACAGGGTGTGATACGGTCTCTGCAACCTACCATCAGGGCAGTCGTAAAACTTTCAATATGGTCCACAAGAAACTTGACTATGGCTTGCTTGATATATTCGCAGTGGAAGCACCCATGACGAGGTAAAAAAAAAAAGAGCCGGGAAAGCCTTTATGGGGCCAGCAGTTCTTGATGACTACCGTCACACTGCATACAATTAAACGGGCAATTGGTCGCAGTTCTCTGAGTTCATCCTTTCAGTTAAAAAGTCGACTTCCAACTAGTGCTGCAGCAAAGCAACATCCATACCGCACCTCTTACAGTCATTATGTATAAAAAGCTTTAGCGACCTTGGTACTAATGTGTCTACATTTTCAGTTCCATCTAATGTTGAGTACTCTTCACGGTTGCACACTGTCAGTCTGATATCGTTGAGGATGATGGAAGCAGCCATATGTGTATGTTGGTGTGTGTGTGTGTGTGTACTTTATGCATAAGAGGTATTTTTAATTAACAGATTGTTGTACTGATATGTATTTCAATGGTGCTTTTCTAGTCTAGACATTTCATTATATTCATTACGTATCTACTTACAATGAGATAAATTTGGAAATAATGGCCATTTTGAATTTCCGGAAGGGCTCAAGTGGTTTTACTGCCACTTGTGTGTTTCAAAATTTGTAAATAACTATTTGGTTGAGTTCCTTATGCTGAAAAACATATGTTTAGACATTTAAATTGGTATTTGGGTTATCTAGTTGCAAAGTTATAAGAAATACAGGAAATGGCGGCAATTTTGGGCGCCATTTTGGATTTCGAAAAGGACTAAAAGTGGTTTATAGCTACTTGTGTGTTGAAGAATTTATCAACATGTATTTTATTGAGTTCCTTATGCTAAAAAACATATATTTAGATATTTAAATTTTGTATTTGGGTTATCTAGTTGCAGAGCTATAAGAAATTCAGGACATGGCGGCCATTTTGGACGCCATCTTGGATTGCGGAAAACGCTCAAGGAGGATTTATGAGGACTTTTAGTATGTTAATCTAGACATATTCCTGGAGCTATCCTGAAAAAATCAGCTTGTTACCATAAATTTCCATGTTAAAACTAATGCTCTTGGCCTATACCTCTTCCCTAAATAGTGAAGTTAAGCCCTTTTCTTTTCCATATCCCTTTTAAACATTGTGTATGTACCCTTTCTGATGAATGTATGATCATTTTGTTTTAAAGCTTTGATTTAGTGTACTGTGGACAGGGTACTAAATACTAGTTATTATTATCATTAGAAGACAAATCGAGACTAATCACACACTTACTTGATAGGTCAATGGCGATGATCTCAACGTCGATTCTAACCCTGGTAAAACTCTTTGCTGCTATGATAGCAAACCACATCTCATTAGTACCTACATAGTGATCATCACGAGCGTATTGTGTATATCCATGGATAGTTTTGATGACAGACTGTATGTCAGACGGATCGTTACCTGTCCCTATTTGGACTTCATCACCATCATACTGGAGATACAAATATTGGAACACGATTCGGAAACCATACGTAGTATTTGTTTGTAGCAAGAATGCATTGTACAATCGGTTGGTGCTGGTGAAAGGCATGTTTATGAAATGTGATTCGTCATCCTGCAGATATATAGCTGAATTATCTGTTAACAAAATTAAAGACAAGAGAGAGAAGAAGGGGAAAAATTAATGTAAGAAAAACAAATTACTTTTGCATCCATACATGATTATTGTTGTTGTTATATATATACGTAGCATGATGGTTAATTTGACCACATCAAAGGTATGTTGTTTAACAACCCTTTAGATATACAAAGCTAATCGGAAACTCTGTTAGGTCAATCAATCCTAGGCTCTGAGCCTTGTTTAAGTGTTTACAATCTTAGAGAAAAGATAATAAATCATCAGGTGGTGGTGTTGCTTGTTATATTAACTTGAATCTGATTTGCACTCTCAGGTATGAAATGGACCACGAGGACCTGAAGTAAAATTTGAACATTCACATTCACTTTATTTGATTTGCTGTTGTTTTGCGACGTCCTCATTCTTCAACCGACTTCTTTTTTGTAAAGCAGAACTTCAATTTGAACTAGACATTGAAATCGTCGAGAAAACGAATAATGTGATCTGCCGCTTTGATCGAGACTTAACACATGTTGAAACTTAATGGGAGATTTGCTCTTTTCAAAAAAATCCCCCCAAACCACAATGAAAAGCACATATAGACATGAAATGATTGTTTGAATCATCTGGAGTAAGCTGTTACTTTATCTTTTAATACATGAATATTCATAACTGTGCGATAAAGTGACAGGAAGAATAGTGAAAGCATTAATCACGTGGTTTAGGTTCCTTTTAAACAGACATTCCATTAAAATGCTAAGACAATTGCTGTTACTTCAAGCCAAGACATAGCCTTAGCCCTTGCGATAGTCCACAGAATATGCGTCAGTCATCGGAATGCTCGTTCGATGAATAAGAAAACTACTCCTAAATGTGATTGAATTTATTATAGGGAACGGCATCGATGCGCGATGCGCGGAAGCTTTGACGTTTCCTTAAATTACTAGAGAAAGCAGACGAATCGTTGTACCATTTTCGACTCTTAATAAGCCCTATTTCTCTGAATTCAGTTTTCTCCTCTCGCGCGAAGCGCTAAAGCTTTGACCCTTCCTTAAATTATGAGAGAAAGCAAACGTTTCAATGTACTGTTCTCGACTCTTAATCCTTATCTGAATTCAGTTTTTTCCCCCTCCCGTGCGAATCGCTGAAGTTTTGACGTTTCCTTAAAGTATGAGAGAAAGCAAACGATTCGTTGTACTGTTCTCGACTCTTTATCCTTATCTGAATTCAGTTTTTTCCCCTTTAGCGCGATGCGCGGAAGCTTTGACGTTTCCTTAAATTATTAGAGAAAGCGGACGATTCGTTGTACTGTTTTCGACTCTTAATCCTTATCTGAATTCAATTTTCCCCCTTTAGCGCGTTGCGCGGAAGCTTTGACGTTTCCTTAAATTACTAGAGAAAGCAGACGATTCGTTGTACCGTTTTCGACTCTTAATAAGCCCTAATTGTTCTGAATTCAGTTTCCCCCTCTCGCGCGAAGTGCGGAAGCTCCGACGTTTACTTTAATAATTAGAAAAAGTAGACGATTCGTTGCATCGTTCGCGATTCTTAACCTTAAAATGTCTGAATTCAGTTTCCCTCCTCCGCGCGAAGCGTGAAAGCATTGACGTTTCCTAAAAGTATGAGAGAAAGCAAACGATTCGTTGTACCGTTCTCGACTCGTTTAAATGAAGTTTCCGCCCCCGTCCCCCCCCCCCCCCCCCCCCCGCGAAGCGCGGAAGGAAGACGATTCGTCGTACCGTTGTTGACTCTTAATCCTTGTTTGAATTTAGTTTCCCCGATAATGTTAAACCTCTGATTTCTATAGCTGATATTAAAGGAAAGTGAAACTTCGAGAAAATACAAGTATTGTAGTTGTAGTCAGTCTCAAAGTCGTCACAGCGGACAAAAAGTCACAGTTTGTAGGGGGAACAAACTTGTCGGCCGACCAACAATAAACATCTCACCGACTTTAAACTTCTGCATTGATATAGTACACGAGGATCGAGCAAAAACCGACACAGCTGACCCGACACAGCAACATATTTACCCGTGTCTTTCTTGCTCCCTCGACGAGACAACTCCACCCAACAACCCCCTCTCTCTTTTACTCCCACTCCTCCTCTCTCAGGCTCTTACCTCCCCCCCCCCCTCTCTCCTCTCTTTCACCCCCCTTTTCCCCCCTTTTCTCTTTTTTCTTCTTTTTCCTTTTCTTTCTTTTCTTTCTTTTCCTTTCTTTCCTCTCCTCCCTCTTTTTCGTTTTTTTCTCCGCTTTTCTTCTCTTCGCTTTTCTTTCTTTCTTTTCCTTACTTTATAGTAGGAGACCAGCCTGTAGGTTCCGTGACCAATCTCTGGGAACAAAGGTTTGCAAGTGTTTTTTTGTTCCCTGATGAATACCGAACAATTTTGACTTGGGCTGCCCCCTTGAAAATCCCGGGCATTTTCGTGAGGGGTCAACAAAGGTCACACAGGAATAAAAATTCAAATAGTTCCAATCAATATGCATATTAAATTATTCGTCTGGTCATGAGGATTCCGAAAATGTATATTTTGCTATACCTCCGACCTTAAATGAGGGCGCTATGGTAAAAAATGTTGAAAGGTCAACACACTTTTGGCTGGTAGTCAAATTTACCAACACAGTTAATCTTATCAAATTGCATATTAACTTACTCGTCTGGTCATAAGGATTCCAAAAATATATAGTTTGATATACCTCCGACCTTAAATGAGGGCGCTATGGTAAAAAAGGTCAATGCACTTTAGAAATTCATCAACACAGTTAACATTGTCCGATTCTAATGATTTTAGGGTCTAATAATATGTTTTCTGACATGGCAAATTCAACTATACAACTTTCAAAAGTAAAAGTGCTTACCTTGACCATGTACATTCAAAATGGCTGCCGTTTCGGTGACAAACATCTAACAACTTCTTATCCATGGGTTTGGGGAAATTTCAAGGTTATGGCAACCACTTTTGATTTTAAAAGTTGCTTAGTTAAATTTGTTATGTCAGAAAACATATTATTAGACCCTAAAGTCATTAGAATCGGACAAGTTAACTGTGTTGGTGAATTTCTAAAGTGCATTGACTTTTTTGACCAAAGCACCCTCATTTAAGGTCGGAGGTATAACAAACTATACATTTTTGGAATCCTTATGACCAGACGAGTAATTTGATATGTGATTTAATAAGGTTCACTGTGTTGGTGAATTTGACCACCAGTCAAAAGTGTGTTGACCTTTTAACGTTTTTGACCATAGCGCCCTCATTTAAGGTCGGAGGTATAGCAAACTATTCATTTTTGGAATCCTCATGACCAGACGAGTAATTTGATATGCATATTGACACGATTGGAACTATTTGAATTTTTATTCCTGTGTGACCTTTGTTGACCCCTCACGAAAATGCCCGGGATTTTCAAGGGGGCAGCCCAAGTCAAAATTGTTCGGTATTCATCAGGGAACACAAAAACACTATTAAACCTTTGTTCCCAGTGATTGGTCACGGAACCTACAGGCTGGTCTCCTACTATTACATTTTTCAAGGTCATTTTCACTTTTTACAATATTGGACACTTGATTATGTAATTAAAATAACGTCACTACGAGTTTACTTCCTCAGACCGAATTTAGCGCAACTCATGCACTAACTAACGGTTTTCATTAGAAGTCTGTGCGACATTCACTCCTAAAGCACCCCATACTTCCGAACCTGTGGAAAACCTCTTTTGGTTCTGATTAATATTAGAAGAAATTTGAACTCCTACACCCTAATTTCTACAAATTTTTCATGACTTGCCCATTATAGAAACACATAAGCAAGTCAATTGCTAACCAAATGAAAAATAATAACAATAATTGCATTAAGGTAATCGTGAAGGCATTTAGAAAATATAATGAGGGGAAAATATGTTTAGCACATAGAGAATATATCATCAGTTTTGCTTTGACTTACTGCATGCTAATTCGTCCTCGAAGTGATCGCAGTGGTAAATCCCATCGCACAGGACAGTCGATGACACGCTCATGTTGGAGCTCGAACAATCAAATAAGGCTGGTAGAAGATAGAAAATAGAAAATATAATATTTAGACAGCTCATGATGCTTGAAATTTTCAGTTTCTTTGACCCCTGCTTTAATAGGGGACATTGTGTATCGTCTAGTCACATGTTTGTCGTATTATTTTCAAACCGACTCCATACCATCAATTGCATTGGCCATTGGGGATTATCATGACGATGTAATTATTTGTTCGGTCCCTAGTCGATCTGGGGTCGGTCTGATTGTTGGAATGACTAGATAATGAAGTAAATTGGGAGATGCATTGAATTCCAACTTAAATCATATTCCAATAATGTATATACATCAAAGATTGCTTTACATCTCATAACACATTTCGCACTTATCTTTGCTCTTCTCGAAATTCATTTATGTTTACCATTCCTAGCAAAGCAAAGCTGGCGATCGCACATTCACTGTAGCTGCATCCAAAGAATGGAAAATATCCCCTCTTTTATTAAAGCAGAAAATTCCACAGACCTATTTAATAAACTCTTGAAAACATACCTCTTCCCTAAATAGTTAAGTTAAGCCCTTTTCTTTTCCATATCCCTTTTAAACATTGTGTATGTACCCTTTCTGATGAATGTATGATCATTTTGTTTTAAAGCTTTGATTTAGTTTACTGTGGACAGGGTACTAAATACTAGTTATTATTATCATTAGAAGACAAATCGAGACTATTCACAAACTTACTTGATAGGTCAATGGCGATGATCTCAACGTCGATTCTAACCCTGGTGAAACTCTTTGTTGCTATGATAGTAAACCACATCTCATTGGTACCTACATAAAGATCATCACGAGCGTATTGTGTATATCCATGGATAGTTTTGATGACAGACTGTATGTCAGACGGATCGTTACCTGTCCCTATTTGGACTTCATCACCATCATACTGGAGATACAAATATTGGAACACGATTCGAAAACCATACGTAGTATTTGTTTGTAGCAAGAATGCATTGTACAATCGGCTGGTGCTGGTGAAAGGCATGTTTATGAAATGTGATTCGTCTTCCTGCAGATATGTAGCTGAATTATCTGTTAACAAAATTAAAGACAAGAGAGAGAAGAAGGGGGAAAATTAATGTTAGAAAAAAAAAGACTTTTGCATCCATATTCGATTATGAAGGGTTCGTCAACTGAAGATTGATATATAAGCTCCGTCAACTAGCACTGAAAAATTTGGGAGCCTCTCTCGAGAAAGTTACTTTATATTATCCATTCACGATTTCACCGGGAAAAGCATGTATTCTGTACAAAACACGGAAACAAAATGGACATCAGATGACAGAATTACGAGTCTCACGAAGTACGACAGGAAAGGAACAATCCGCTGTGATAATGACGTTGAAACTCTCTAAGTTTCCTCTTTGTGAAGAGCAATGCAGATTGTTATCGTGGGTAAGAAGTATCCCTGTATAATATATATAATGTTCTTAAACAGTATATAACAATTTTCAGTCAGATGCTGATTGGATATGTCGGACTTGTCTACTTAAAAAATTGCCTTTTAACTCTGGTGACTGTGTAGACACACCTACTTTTGATGATAATGGATAATGATAAGCTAAACGATGTAAATATAAATACGTTGACAAGAACATCGGAATAAGATTTTTGTTGTTGTTATATATACGTAGCATGATGGATAAATTTGACCACATAAAAGATTTGTTGTTTAACAACCCTTTAGATATACAAAGCTTATCGGAAACTCTGTTAGGTCAATCAATCCTAGGCTCTAAGCCTTGTTTAAGTGTTTACAATCTTAGAGAAAAGATAATAAATCATCAGGTGGTGGTGTTGCTTGTTATATTAACTTGAATCTGTTTTGCACTCCCAGGTACGAAATGGACCACGAGGACCTGAAGTAAAATTTGAACATTCACATTCACTTTATTTGATTTGCTGTTGTTTTGCGACGTCCTCATTCTTAAACCGACTTCTTTTTTGTAAAGCAGAACTTCAATTTGAACTAGACATTGAAATCGTCGAGAAGACGAATAATGTGATCTGCCGCTTTGATCGAGACTTAACACATGTTGAAACTCAATGGGAGATTTGCTCTTTTAAAAAAAATCCCCCAAACCCACAATGAAAAGCACATATATACATGAAATGATTGTTTGAATCATCTAAAATAAGATGTTACTTTTACTTGTAATGCATGAATATTCATAACTGTGCGGTAAAGTGACAGGAAGAATAGTGAAATCATTAATCCCGTGGTTTAGGTTCCCTTTAAACAGCCATTCCATAAAAATGCTGAGACAATTGCTGTTACTTCAAGCCAAGACATAGCCTTAGCCCTTGCGATAGTCCACAGAATATGCGTCAGTCATTGGAATGCTCGTTCGATGAATAAGCAAACTACTCCTAAATGTGATTGAATTTATTATGGGGAACGGCATCGATGCGCGATGCGCGGAAGCTTTGACGTTTCCTTAAATTATTAGAGAAAGCAGACGATTCGTTGTACCGTTTTCAACTCTTAATCCTTGTCTAAATTTAGTTTCCCCTATCCTGCGCGAATCGCTGAAGTTCTGACGTTTCCTTAAAGTATGAGAGAAAGCAAACAAATCGTTGTACCGTTTTCGACTCTTAATAAGCCCTATTTCTCTGAATTTAGTTTTCCCCTCTCGCGCGAAACGCGGAAGCTCCGACGTTTACTTTAATTATTAGAAAAAGTAGACGATTCGTTGCATCGTTCGCGATTCTTAACCCTAAGATGTCTGAATTCAGTTTTCCTCCTCCTCGCGAGGCGTGAAAGCATTGACGTTTCCTTAAATTATTAGAGAAAGCAGACGATTCGTTGTACCGTTTTCGACTCTTAATCCTTGTCTAAATTTAGTTTCCCCTTCCCGCACGAAGCCCGAAAAGCTTAGACGTTTCCTTAAATTAATAGAGAAAGCAGACGATTCGTTGTATCGTTTCCGACTCTTAATAAGCCCTAATTGTTCTGAATTCAGTTTCCCCCTCTAGCGCGAAGCGCGGAAGCTCCGACGTTTACTTTAATAATTAGAAAAAGTAGACGATTCGTTGCATCGTTCGCGATTCTTAACTCTAAAATGTCTGAATTCAGTTTCCCTCCTCCGCGCGAAGCGTGAAAGCATTGACGTTTCCTAAAAGTATGAGAGAAAGCAAACGATTCGTTGTACCGTTCTCGACTCGTTTAAATGAAGTTTCCGCCCCCGTCCCCCCCCCCCCCCCCCGCGAAGCGCGGAAGGAAGACGATTCGTCGTACCGTTGTTGACTCTTAATCCTTGTTTGAATTTAGTTTCCCCAATAATGTTAAACCTCTGATTTCTTTAGCTGATATCAAAGGAAAGTGAAACTTCGAGAAAATACAAGTATTGTAGTTGTAGTCAGTCTCGAAGTCGTCACAGCGGATAAAAAGTCACAGTTCGTAGGGGAACAAACTTGTCGGCCGACCAACAATAAACATCTCACCGACTTTAAACTTCTGCATTGATATAGTACACGAGGATCGAGCAAAAACCGACACAGCTGACCCGAAACAGCAACATATTTATCCGTGTCTTTCTTGCTCCCTCGACGAGACAACTCCACCCAACAACCCCCTCTCTCTTTTACTCCCACTCCTCCTCTCTCAGGCTCTTACCTCCCCGCCCCTCTCTCCTCTCTTTCACCCCCTTTTTCCCCCCTTTTCTCTTTTTTGTTCTTTTTCCTTTTCTTTCTTTTCTTTCTTTTCCTTTCTTTCCTCTCCTCCCTCTTTTTCTTTTTTTCTCCGTTTTTCTTCTTTTCTCTTTTCTTTCTTTCTTTTCCTTACTTTACATTTTTCAAGGTCATTTTCACTTTTTACAATATTGGACACTTGATTATGTAATTAAAATAACGTCACTACGAGTTTACGTCTTCAAACCGAATTTAGCGCAACTCATGCACTAACTAACGGTGTTCATTAGAAGTCTGTGCGACATTCACTCCTAAAGCACCCCATACTTCCGAACCTGTGGAAAACCTCTTTTGGTTCTGATTAATATTAGAAGAAATTTGAACTCCTACACCATAATTTCTACAAATTTTTCATGACTTGCCCATTATAGAAACGCATAAGCAAGTCAATTGCTAACCAAATGAAAAATAAAAACAATAATTGCATTAAGGTAATCGTGAAGGCATTTAGAAAATATAATAAGGGGAAAATATGTTTAGCACATAGAGAATATATCATCGGCTGTGCTTTGACTTACTGCATGCTAATTCGTCCTCGAAGTGATCGCAGTGGTAAATCCCATCGCACAGGACAGTCGGTGACACGCTCATGTTGGAGCTCGAACAATCAAATAAGGCTGGTAGAAGATAGAAAATAGAAAATATATTTAGACAGCTCATAATGCTTGAAATTTTCAGTTTCTTTGACCCCTGCTTTAATAGGGGACATTGTGTATTGTCTAGTCACATGTTTGTCGTATTATTTTTAAACCGACTCCATACCATCAATTGCATTGGCCATTGGGGATTATCATGACTGTAATTATTTGTTCGGTCCCTAGTCGATCTGGGGTCGGTCTTATCGTTGGAATGACTAGATAATGAAGTACATTGGGCGATGCATTGAATTCCAACTTAAATTATATTCCAATAATGTATATACATCAAAGATTGCTTTACATCTCATAACACATTTCGCACTTATCTTCGCTCTTCTCTAAATTCATTTATGTTTACCATTCCTAGCAAAGCAAAGCTGGAGATCGCACATTCACTGTAGCTGCATCCAAAGAATGGAAAATATCCCCTCTTTTATTAAAGCAGGAAATTCCACAGACCTATTTAATAAACTCTTGAAAACATACCTCTTCCCTAAATAGTTAAGTTAAGCCCTTTTCTTTTCCATATCCCTTTTAAACATTGTGTATGTACCCTTTCTGATGAATGTATGATCATTTTGTTTTAAAGCTTTGATTTAGTTTACTGTGGACAAGGTACTAAATACTAGTTATTATTATCATTAGAAGACAAATCGAGACTTATCACAAACTTACTTGATAGGTCAATGGCGATGATCTCAACGTCGATTCTAACCCTGGTCAAACTCTTTGTTGCTATGATAGTAAACCACATCTCATTGGTACCTACATAGAGATCATCACGAGCGTATCGTGTATATCCAGGGATAGTTTTGATGACAGACTGTATGTCAGACGGATCGTTACCTGTCCCTATTTGGACTTCATCACCATCATACTGGAGATACAAATATTGGAACACGATTCGAAAACCATACGTAGTATTTGTTTGGAGCAAGAATGCATTGTACAATCGGCTGGTGCTGGTGAAAGGCATGTTTATGAAATGTGATTCGTCTTCCTGCAGATATGTAGCTGAATTATCTGTTAACAAAATTAAAGACAAGAGAGAGAAGAAGGGGAAAAATTAATGTAAGAAAAAAAAAGACTTTTGCATCCATATTCGATTATGAAGGGTTCGTCAACTGAAGATTGATATATAAGCTCCGTCAACTAGCACTGACAAATTTGGGAGCCTCTCTCGAGAAAGTTACTTCATATTATCCATTCACGATTTCACCGGGAAAAGCATGTATTCTGTACAAAACACGGAAACAAAATGGACATCAGATGACAGAATTACGAGTCTCACGAAGTACGACAGGAAAGGAACAATCCGCTGTGATAATGACGTTGAAACTCTCTAAGTTTCCTCTTTGTGAAGAGCAATGCAGATTGTTATCGTGGGTAAGAAGTATCCCTGTATAATATATATAATGTTCTTAAACAGTATATAACAATTTTCAGTTAGATGCTGATTGGATATGTCGGACTTGTCTACTTAAAGAATTGCCTTTTAACTCTGATGACTGTGTAGACACACCTACTTTTGATGATAATGGATAATGATAAGCTAAACGATGTAAATATAAATACGTTGACAAGAACATCGGAATAAGATTTTTGTTGTTGTTATATATACGTAGCATGATGGATAAATTTGACCACATAAAAGATTTGTTGTTTAACAACCCTTTAGATATACAAAGCTTATCGGAAACTCTGTTAGGTCAATCAATCCTAGGCTCTGAGCCTTGTTTAAGTGTTTACAATCTTAGAGAAAAGAAAATAAATCATCAGGTGGTGGTGTTGCTTGTTATATTAACTTAAATCTGTTTTGCACTCCCAGGTACGAAATGGACCACGAGGACCTGAAGTAAAATTTGAACATTCACATTCACTTTATTTGATTTGCTGTTGTTTTGCGACGTCCTCATTCTTCAACCGACTTCTTTTTTTGTAAAGCAGAACTTCAATTTGAACTAGACATTGAAATCGTCGAGAAGACGAATAATGTGATCTGCCGCTTTGATCGAGACTTAACACATGTTGAAACTCAATGGGAGATTTGCTCTTTTAAAAAAAATCCCCCAAACCCACAATGAAAAGCACATATAGACATGAAATGATTGTTTGAATCATCTAAAATAAGATTTTACTTTTACTGTAATGCATGAATTTTGGGCGTATCATCAAAATAAAGAGAAAGGAAGACGATTCGGCGTACCGTTCTTGACTCTTAATCCTTGTTTGAATTTAGTTTCCCCGATAATGTTAAACCTCTGATTTCTTTAGCTGATATTAAAGGAAAGTGAAACTTCGAGAAAATACAAGTAATGTAGTTGTAGTCAGTCTCGAAGTCGTCACAGCGGATAAAAAGTCACAGTTCGTAGGGGAACAAACTTGTCGGCCGACCAACAATATACATCTCACCGACTTTAAACACGAGGATCGAGCAAAAACCGACACAGCTGACCCGACACAGCAACATATTTACCCGTGTCTTTCTTGCTCCCTCGACGAGACGACTCCACCCAACAACCCGCTCTCTCTTTTACTCCCACTCCTCCTCTCTAAGGCTTTTACCAACCCCTCTCTCCTCTCTTTTACCCCCTTTTTTCTCCCTTTTCTCATTTTTCTTCTTTTTCCTTTTCTTTCTTTTCTTTCTTTTCCTTTTTTTCCTCTCCTCCCTCTTTTTTTTTTCTCCGTTTTTCTTCTCTTCTCTTTTCTTTCTTTCTTTTCCTTACTTTACATTTTTCAAAGTCATTTTCACTTTTTACAATATTGGACACTTGATTATGTAATTAAAATAACGTCACTACGGGTTTACGTCCTCAAACCGAATTTTGCGCAACTCATGCACTAACTAACGGTTTTCATTAGAAGTCTGTGCGACATTCACTCCTAAAGCACCCCATACTTCCGAACCTGTGGAAAACCTCTTTTGGTTCTGATTAATATAGAAATTTGAACTCCTACACCCTAATTTCTACATATTTTTCATGACTTGCCCATTATAGAAACGCACAAGCAAGTCAATTATATAACTTGATTTACTGTAATATTCTTTGTATTGTATTATTGTATTATTGCAAATTATGTCCTGAAGTATGTTAAACTGTAACTTATGTGTATTTTACTCTCTTTCTTGAATTCTTGCCCACAATTATACAACTTCCACACAACTGCGCCAGGAGTGTCATTTTTGACAGACATGGCGCATTATAAATGTTCACTATTATTATTATTATTATTATTATTAATTGCTAACCAAATGAAAAATAAAAACAATAATTGCATTAAGGTAATCGTGAAGGCATTTAGAAAATATAATGGGGGGAAAATATGTTTAGCACATAGAGAATATATCATCAGTTGTGCTTTGACTTACTGCATGCTAATTCGTCCTCGAAGTGATCGCAGTGGTAAATCCCATCGCACAGGACAGTCGGTGACACGCTCATGTTGGAGCTCGAACAATCAAATAAGGCTGGTAGAAGATAGAAAATAGAAAATTTATTTAGACAGCTCATAATGCTTGAAATTTTCAGTTTCCTTGACCCCTGCTTTAATAGGGGACATTGTGTATCGTCTAGTCACATGTTTGTCGTATTATTTTCAAACCGACTCCATACCATCAATTGCATTGGCCATTGGGGATTATCATGACGATGTAATTATTTGTTCGGTCCCTAGTCGGTCTGGGGTCGGTCTTATTGTTGGAATGACTAGATAATGAAGTACATTGAGCGATGCAGTGATTTCCAACTTAAATTATATTCCAATAAGTTATTTACATCAAAGATTGCTTTACATCTCATAACACATTTCGCACTAATCTTCGCTCTTCTCAAAAATCATTTCTGTTTACCATTCCTAGCAAAGCAAAGCTGGCGATCGCACATTTACTGTAACTGCATTCAAAGAATGGAAAATAACCCCTCTTTCATTAAAGCAGAAAATTCCAGAGGCCTATTAAACAAACTCTCAAAAACATACCTCTTCCCTAAATAGTTAAGTTAAGCCCTTTTCTTATCCATATCCCTTTTGAACATTGTGTATGTACCTTTTCTGATGACATTCAGTAAATGTATGATCATTTTGTTTAAAAGCTTTGATTTAGTGTACTGTGGGCAGGGTACTAAATACTAGTTATTATTATCATTAGAAGACAAATCGAGACTAATCACAAACTTACTTGATAGGTCAATGGCGATGATCTCAACGTCGATTCTAACCGTGGTGAAACTCTTTGCTGCTATGATAGCAAACCACATCTCATTAGTACCTACATAGTGATCATCAGGAGCGTATCGTGTATATCCATGGATAGTTTTGATGACAGACTGTATGTCAGACGGATCGTTACCTGTCCCTATTTGGACTTCATCACCATCATACTCGAGATACAAATATTGGAACACGATTCGAAAACCATACGTAGTATTTGTTTGTAGCAAGAATGCATTGTACAATCGGCTGGTGCTGGTGAAAGGCATGTTTATGAAATGTGATTCGTCTTCCTGCAGATATATAGCTGAATTATCTGTTAACAAAATTAAAGACAAGAGAGAGAAGAAGGGGAAAAATTAATGTAAGAAAAAAAAAGACTTTTGCATCCATATTCGATTATGAAAGGTTCGTCAACTGAAGATTGATATATAAGCTCCGTCAACTAGCACTGACAAATTTGGGAGCCTCTCTTGAAAAAGTTACTTTATATTATTCATTCATGATTTTACCGGGAAAATCATGTATTCTGTACAAAACACGGAAACAAAATGGACATCAGATGACAGAATTACGAGTCTCACGAAGGACGACAGGAAAGTAACAATCCGCTGTGATATTATTGGGCCGTATGCATAAAAAGTAGCAATTGCTTGCAAGCAATTGCTTCAAGCACAAGCAATTGCTTGTCAAGCAAAAGATCAAGCTCAAGCAATTGCTTAAATCCGTATGCATAACATTTTGCTTGTGCTCAAACCTTTTGCTTGCCTCCAGCAAGCAATTGCTTACGATCTCAACAATAGCGACGTCACGCCGGTGCGAACATCATTCATGGGAGAACAAAGGCGGGTTTCGCATACTAGTAGTGTATTCAAATGTCATGCGTGTGGGGTAGCCTTTCCTGGCCTCCATGCTCTCCACCGTTGTCAGACATCCTCCCCGTTTTTTATCATGTTCAGGTATGAACCTGTGTGCTAATCACTCAACGTTCTCTTTGTCGAAACGGAATAGTTTCCGATAGGTCTCGGGAGCAATTTCTTCTCGATTTATTCTACTCCTGTACAACTTTGGTTTTTCTCTAACGAGCATAAACATGATGCTTAACCGCGAACGTCCCGATTAAGCAAGAGCTCAAGCTGCTATGACGGAGCTTGAAAAAACGTAAGCAATTGCTTATAAGAACAAGCAAAAGGTTCGTTTTATGCATACGTTTTTAAGCAATTGCTTGATCTTTAAGCAATTGCTTGCGGACATCAAGCAATTGCTTGTGCTTGCTAGCAAAAGCATTTGCTTGCAAGCAATTGCTTATGTTTATGCATACGGATTCAAGTAAAAGGCTAGCACAAGCAATTGCTACTTTTTATGCATACGCCGTTGGAACTCTCTAAGTTTCCTCTTTGTGAAGAGCAAAGCAGATTGTTATCGTGGGTAACAAGTATCCCTGTATAATAGATAAAATGTTCTTAAACAGTATATAACGATCAGAATGCGCTATTATGCATTTACTGTCAAAGGTGGATTCATTTTAAGTGTTCCTCTGTTAACACCAATTTTTTTTTCAGTCAGCTGCTGATTGGATATGTGGGACTTGTCTGCTAACAGAATTGCCTTTCAACTCTGATGACTGTGTAGAAACACCAACTTTTGATGATAAAGGATAATGATAAGCTAAACGATGTAAATATAAATACGTTGACAAGAACATTGGAATAAGTTTTTTGTTGTTGTTATATAACCTGATTCACACATCCGGAAAATCACGGCACTAGAGAAACAACTTGGGAAAAAAGAAGAATGCATTTCTCGCTTGGAGTATGAGACCAACGAGTTAGAACAGTACTCAAGAAGATCATGTGTTCGTATTTTTGGAGTTAAAGAAGAGAAGAATGAAAATACAGATGGTATTATTATCTCGGTAGCAAAGAAAATGAATGTGGACCTGCGTCTTGAGCAGATAGATAGATCTCATCGTGTAGGTAGGCTTCCCCAGGACAAAACAAGAAGTCGTGGCATCATTGCTAAATTGTCCTCGTATCGCATAAGGCAGATGCTCCTCAAACATCGAACTTCGCTGAAAGGAACAAGGATTGCTCTATGAGGACCTTACTCCTAGGAATTTTGACCTGCTACACGAAGCAAAGTCCTGTGAGAAAGTACAAGCTGCTTGGTCTTCTGATGGCAAAGTATTTGTACTGTCATCCAAGCGAAATGGTAATACAACTAAACGGATGATACGAAGCAAAGCTGATCTTTTGAGATTATAAATATGGTGGCGACTCAATGTAATGAAATTCTTGGGAATGTGCATATTTTCCTGTGAGAAAGTACAAGCTGCTTGGTCTTCTGATGGCAAAGTATTTGTACTGTCATCCAAGCGACATGGTAATACAACTAAACAGATGATACGAAGCAAAGCTGATCTTTTGAGATTATAAATATGGTGGCGACTCAATGTAATGAAATTCTTGGGAATGTGCATATTACCTTACGGCATGAATGTGATGTTGGCCTGTTGACTTCTTCAGTCAGGATCATTCTCATTCTCATTCTTATTAACCTCTTTATGCAGGAACTCCACTGTGAACTGTATATATGTATTAGCATGCATCGATGTCTACATTGTTAATCATAAAACTCCATGTGTTTATGAAGTTTTTAATATGTATGATAAATTCCTCGGAACCACATATTCATATTCGTATTTTATATTCTGACTTTAAATGTGCTTTATACAGGTTGTATGTTCAATGACAGTATAACTGCAACTTATCTGTTCCGGATGACTTTCGCCATTCCACTTACCCATTTTTTCTTTTTTAGTAACTCAGTTGTAACTATATGTAGATTAAGAAAGTACAGTTGTAGTAATTTTTAAAAACTGTTCAAAATATTTATCTAATCTTTTCCATAGATTTAACACAGATCAACAGGTTGTAACTTTTCACTGTTTTTAATTCTATTTCCTTCAGAAGATAGTTTGAGGCATATTTACAAAAAGAGGTGACTTGAATCACATGTACTTGTATTTATTATTACATATTGCTATATTCATAATATTTTGTTTATGAGTGACACATTTATGACTGCTAAATCAGAATATTATGAGTTGAAAAATTTACCTGAGTGCAAGTCTTCATTTTTTTTCTTCATTATTTCATGCTAATGTAAGAAGTTTTTAAAAAAATACTGATAAATTACATGTATGTCTATCAAATGTCAAACCTTCTTTTTCAGTAATAGGAATTACAGAAACATGGATAAAAGAAAATGAGAAACTTCTGCCAATCCACGAACTGGATGGATATAATTTTGTTAGTCAAGGTAGAAGTGATCGCTCAGGTGGTGGAGTTGGAATAATTGTAAATGAATCATTGAAATATAAAATACGTGAAGACTTAAAATTATTTGTGAGTGAAGTAGAAAGTATGTTTGTTGAACTTTTTTTCAACAGGAAGAGTGTCATAGTTGGCGTAGTTTACAGACCACCAAGTCAGACAATTCTTGCATTCAAGGAATCTTTTGAACCAATCCTCTTTAAAGTTATTGGTGATCACAAACCTTGCTATATAATGGGAGATTTGAATATAAATCATTTTGTTGGAGAAGAGATGGAGCCTAATGATTTTGTACAATTTATGAATTCCTATTCTTTTTCTCCTGTAATATCTAAGCAAACTCGAATCACTATAGAAACCTCAACTTTGTTGGATAATATTTTTGTTAACAGCACATGTGATGATTATTTGTCTGGAATTATTACATACCCTGTAAGTGACCACATGCCTATATTTTGTATTTCTAATCTTATTATGAATTCAAACCAAAATGTAAGGTCTGCTCGAAGTGTGAGGCATATTAACGAAGAAAATATAATATTATTCTGTACTGAATTGAGTAAGGTGAACTGGGAATTCATTTTGAAAAATTCAACTCCTGATGTTAACCAGTTATACAATTCATTTTTTGAGGTTTTTGGCTCTATTTATGGTCATTGCTTTCCAAAACAACAACCCAAAGATAATCAAAAAGAAAAACGTAACCCATGGTATGATCATTCTTTAAAAAAGCTTTGTCGTAAGAAAAATGCTTTGTATCACAAATTTATAAAAAATCCCACCCATTACAGAGAAGAAACAAAGGAATATAATTGTAAATAATGCGATTAGAAGTGCAAAACGTGACTATTATCAAAAGAAATGATTTGAAAGGAACATGGCGTGTTATAAACAATATTTTAAAACAACAAAAGAAAATTGACTATCCAACTCTTTTAAAAGATGGACAAAATATTGAGGAACCATCAGAAGTGTTGCGAGTTTTTAATGAATATTTTGTTTCTGTTGGTGAAAATGTTGCAAACAATATGCCTAATACTTTAACAGACCCTATTAAATATTTAATAATAATAATAATAGCTAGTTCTTATATAGCGCTATTCAGGACCGGAGGCCCTCTCAAAGCGCTTTACAGATGTATATATTATTACCCCGGTCATAGGATTCAGGCTTACCCGCACACAATGTATGCACATTCTCCACTCCCTGGGGAGCATTCCAGCCAGGCGTCTTTTTTACAAGCGCACACTTGCTAATCTAACCACATTAGCTTTCGCATCCTACCGGGTACCCATTTAACACCTGGGTGGAGAGTGGCAAATGTAGATCAATGTCTTGCCAAAGGACATTAGTGCCGCGGTGGGACTTGTGGTGATTATCCACAATCCTTATTTTTCACATGTACAAAGGAATCTGAGGTAATCAATACAGTGTTAAGTTTAAAAGAAGGCAAAAGCCCAGGTTACGATGATATAGACACCAAAGTTTTAAAACAATGTATACACATTGTTGCTCCAGTGTTAACTCATATTTTCAATACCTCTATAGAAGCAGGATGCTTTCCAGATGCTTTAAAAGTTGCTAAAGTTTTGCCAATATTTAAAAAGGGAGATAAATCTTTATGTAAAAACTATCGACCTGTGTCCCTGCTTTCGGTCTTTGATAAACTTTTTGAAAAATTGATATATGCAAAACTTATGTCTTATATATGTTAACACAATATTTTATACAATAGACAATTTGGTTTCTGCTCTGGACATTCTACATCTATGGCCCTACTTGAATTTATCGATCAACTTAATACAGCTTTTGAAAATAAGAATATTGGACTAGGAATATTTTTGGACCTATCAAAGGCATTCGACTCAATCAATCATGATATTTTGTTACGTAAGTTGAAATTTTATGGTATTAGAGGAATTTCTTTAGAATTGATACATAGCTATTTATTTAACAGAAAGCAATTTGTTTATATAATAATAATTACAGT